AAAAACAGTAGGCGAAATCGCAAGCGAACAGTAGGCGAAATCGCATACTTCCCTACTAGTATGCGAAAAACAGTACCCCAATAGAGTAGTAGCCTATGTCCGAATAGATATAATATTTAGAATAATATTTGAAAAACAGTAGGCAAAAAGTACCCGGATGACTACTTCCAGGAAATTTTGAAGTGGGCATACGAGTGCTTTACTATCCCATGAGGCCACGGGAGAGGATTTATGAATGGCAGTGAAGCGACGTAACTGACGCTGGCAGGTCACATGATAAGGGCACATGATAATTCATACTACACACATTCATATTATCCAGAAAATAAGCCTACTTTTTAGCGGCCGTGGCTTAATTACTTATTCAAAATAAGTACCTACTCAAGAATGTAAGAGATTTCGGACACAGCCTTCACAAATACTCTTTTATGTGTACTGTGAATTCTTCAGACACACTTCTTATGTCACATAGGCCTACTGTTTTTCGCCTACTATATAGTAGGGAAGTATGCGATTTTGGATGCAGCCTATATGCACGTATATTTTTTAGCCAGTTTTACCAAACTTTCTTTTTCCTTTCAGAATGCACTATTTCCAGAATAAAAACAGGTAAACTGCAGTCTAATCTCATTCACCTTGCATATGTGTTTTATTCTAAAGCAGCCTAATATTTTGTTGAATTTGTTCTGTAATTTGAACTGCCATGATCCGTTGGGTACAGTCATCTGTATAATGTTGCTAAAAGCTGCTGTTATTGGTTAATTCTGTATTTAGTCAATCACATGACTAAAGTGTATACTCGGAGTGGTTGATGTCATTGGGCATGAATGGTGTTGTCATGTGAATGGTAAAAATAAACTGACTTGCAAGTATCCACATGTCCACCATACATGTCCACACTCTGGAAACATCTCAAATCATATACCATACTGGATATAATCTCAGTTTTTGAATGTTTAGGAAATTCAACTGTCATTTGTTGGAAATGCATTAAGGAGATCACATGGAATTTGGAAGTAGGCCTGACTGTCAACAAAAATAATAAGACATTTTCTAAATATTTACATTTATATGAATATAGCAAATGATATAATAACTTTACGAAATGTAAGGGTCCAGTTCTCAGTTTGTATCAGACAAGAGCAGTAATAGACAAAACACTATTTTAAACAGCTGTGTTATTCTGCCACCTGCTGGTTATAAGTTGCGCTGCATGACTTGACTTGGTGTGCTGGACTGGTAACACTTTAGAATACGGTATCTTACTGCATGACTAATAAGGAATTATTAAAGAACTAGTAGGTAATTCTTCATTAACTACTTCTTCACTGTTGTTAACTACTACGGAAGATGTGTTAACTAATCAGTATGTAATAGAATGTTATGCTTGTGTTAAGTTACAGTTAGTTAATCAATAACTAATGAATTATGCCATACCTCCTGAAGAACTACTACTAATTATCTACTAATTAAGGTTCAAGAAAAATAACTAAGGAGTAACTAATGACCAGTTATACAAAACTAACCTTGCATCACCAAATCACTGTAAAATGTAGGCTACCGTGATTTTGCCGGAACTTGAATGGTGCAAAATAAGTTTAAAATGTATAAGAACTAAGTATAATAATATGCTTTTTACTTTTTAAGTACTTTAAAAATTAATTACCTTTGTACTTTTACTAAGGTAATTTTGAAAATGGCCTAATTATAATTTTACTGGAGTAATATTTTATTGTGGTATCTGTACTTTTACTCAAGCACTTGATTTGTGTACTTCTTCCACCACTACAATGCTAAAAAAAAGGATTATTGTAGTGACTACTGTGTATGACTGTTCATTAGTAGTTAATTAATTCATAGTTATTTTTCTTGAACCCTAATTAGTAGATAATTAGTAGTAGTTCTTCAGGAGGTATGACATAATTCATTAGTTACTGATTAACTAACTGTACTGATTAGTTAACACATCTTCCTTAGTAGTTAACAACAGTGAAGAAGTAGTTAATGAAGAATTACCTACTAGTTCTTTAATAATTCCTTATTAGTTATGCAGTAAGATACAGTACGGTATTCTAAAGTGTTACTGGTGTGCTTATAATAAACACAGTTTGCACAAAAATGTTGTTTATTTCTTTCTGAAACATTTTAGTTGGATGTTGATCTAAAGGTTTTTTATGTTACTACTTGTTTCAGAAAATATATTTATAAAAATAACATAATGTTTGCAAAATGATTAAATGGATGTTCCCTTAACGTTCGCATAACGTTTCTAACACATTTAAAAACGGATGTTTTGAACGTCCAGAGAACATTCAGAAATAACGTTTTCATAACTTACAGCCAACGTTAGCAAAACGTTGTTAGAATATTTTGGTAGATGGGTAGCAGGTTCATCTGATCTTGCCACACGTGGATGAAAAAAAAAGGTTTGAGGATTGTTTACAAATGTCATGCCGCACGTGACAGGGGCGTTTCCTTTGTGGAGCTCGACCCCCTTGTTTTTCCCCCTCCATTCATTTCTCATTCAGTACTTCCTGTGAAAGATAAACAAATGGCGCTCCGCACTTCAAACCAGAAAATGATTCAAAATGTAAGCCGAAAACGGAAATTTAAGAGTTCAAAATGCCCAGACAGAAGAAAAAATATAATGTTCGCTTTCCACCCGTGAGTATTTCTGTATTTCCAAGTTTTTATGCTTTGTGAATCCATAAACTCTGCTACTCAGATGAGCGTCACTGAACATCTCATCCTCCTGTTTTCCTCTTGGCCAGGGACGCATCAAGAAAATAATGCAAAAGGATACAGATGTCGGGCGAATCGCAACAGCTGTACCAGTCATCATATGTATCCTTTAAGCTCTAAATGTTGAATGCTGGTGGGTAATAATCGTTTGTTGTCAGGAGCCCTTTGCCAGTTGAATCGTTTGAAGCATGTATCCAAAAGAGTCGATTCCTCCACTCTGACTCTTCGATTCTTTTGTTCTAACGATTCCTCTTAGTTCATAATTATAGAACGTTGTGATTGGCTAAAAACAATGAAATAGCGTTCTAAGAACTAACCACAATACTTAGTTTAGTGGTTCCCAACATTTTTAGTCCAAATGCCACCGTAGATAAAATCGACTAAATCCTATCTAGTTTTATCATTACGGTTTGTTTTTTTTAAATGGCAATGAACCTAAAATAGGGCTCATTCTCTTTATATAAAATATCAAATCTGTTTTTATTTATTTATTTTGGGGCCTAAATTAGGCTGCATTTTCTTCATATAAAATATCCATCCCCTCCCCTCCCCTCCCATCACAATTCCTTCATTTTGCTGTTATGGTCCATAACTGCACATTTAGCTAAAGCTTTAGAAATGTTCCTCAGATCTCTTCTCAGCATGACCTGTAAAATAACCCAATCCAGGAAGAGCAGAGTGATGTCCATCAATCACATGTGAGGTTCAAAATAGGCATCCTCCTGTCTTAAATAACCATTCCTATGTACTGTCCACTGTTATGTGAGTATGTGTCCTCCTGTCCATCTGTTTCTGTTCTTTTATTATACTTGGATAATCATTGTAGGAAACAGTGCATCCATTCAGAGAGGTTGTTTGACTTCCTGAAGGATTTGGCAGATCAAGCCAACACTGCGTCAACATCAGAGTGCAAAACTAAGGGCAAATGGCAGTCACACAGGTACAGTATAATCTATTAAAATGTTCAGGTGCCCAGCAAATGAATGAAAGCAGATGCCATAGTTCAGGGCTGCCCAATCCTGTTCCTGGAGAAAGTTCAGCTTCAAACCTGATCCAACACAAAACTAAGATCTACAGACAGCAGGGTTAGATCTGAACTCGGCAGGATCTCCAGGAACAGGATTGGGCACACCTGCCATTGTCCATACAAGCAATCGATGACTAGGTACTTATTTTGAGTAAGTAATAACTTCACGACTGCTAAAAAATATGTTCTATATAGTATGAATGTGTGTAGTATGAATGTAATCTGGATGTACTACATTCAGCATGTGCCCTTATCATGTGACCTGCTACCAGCGTCAGTTACTTCACTTCACTGCCATTCATAAATCCTCTCCTGTGGCCTCATGGGATAGTAAAGTGTCCATCGTATGCACGAATTAGGTCATCTGGGTTATTTTTAACGCTTTTATGAGTACTGTGCATTCAGACACACTTCTTTTTGGACATACTGTTTTTCGCCTACTATATAGTAGGGAAGTATGTGATTGTGGATGCAGCCATTGTAATGAAATGATCTTCCTTTAGGAAACGGTGGCAAAGTGTGTCTATCAAGTCACCTGAGAGGGAGGAGCCACCCCAAAAAGCCACCAATGATCTGGTCATCAACAGTGATTCATCCAGTGTAAGTGACTGTGATGACATGTTACTGATACAAGGTTAAGAATTTTGATGAGAGATGTTTGTATTTTGAATGGGAGAATCTTTCATGGTGTGTTTTCTTGATCAGGAGTCTGAGCTGTTCATCTGCTTGGAAACTCATTCACCTTGACCGGGCTTCTGAAAAGGTGAGATTTATACCGATAAGTTCATGTGTATAACTAACATTTTAACTATATCAATCCAGTGATTAATTTTTCATTTTATTTTTTATTTAAGTTTCGCAAGACGCAACAATCTCTCACTGAAAACTGCAGTATTATTTTTGAAGACACAACAAGGTGTTAGTTATTCTTAGCATCTGACATAAATATTTAATTTTTAATTTGTGAAATTGCTCTGTTGTGGTATTATAATGACCATGAAATGAATTATATATTTTTTGTTTTCATACTTATTTCAAGGTTTCCAGGGAGTTTTAAATTCCGATAGGGAAGAAAATAATTTGTTTATTATATAATAGAGATTTTGTGATAGTGAGCAGCTCCACAATTTTTTTTTTTTCAGTTGGATTCACAATTAAAACTGTAGTTTGACCTGTCTTATGTTTATAATCTAACATGATTCTCTAAGCTGTGACTTATGTGTTACAATATTTATAGATCAAGGTAAATATTTATTATTTTCTTTTTCTACCATCTTTAAATGCAAGTCACTGGTTTTGTTAACCATTAATTATCCACAGTAGGTTGCAGGGTTCTTTAAGTGGCATATTGTATGACAAGGTCAATTGTATTTTATAGTGAATATTCTATAAAGTATATTTTAAGATGTCAATATTACACAATATTGTATAAATATGCATTTCTACTCTTAACCTAACTACTGTGATGAATGACAAAAGAGACAATATGTAGTAAAAAAAAAGTTTAAAACCAAGAATCTATTACAAATATTATTGCAAAATAATGGCTGAATAAAATATCTGAGGATGTTTCAAAGGTACTTTTATTTTAAGTAAATTATGTTCTTTGTATGGTCACAAAGTGTGATGCAGAACATATACAAGAAAATAAAAGTAAATAGGCTATAAACCTTTTTCTTGATCATAATTTGGGGCAATATATCCAATTTTTCTTCTGTTACTGAGGGCCTTTAAATTGTTTTGTTTTCCTTTTCAAGCATTTCAAACATAACAGCAGCTAAAACCAGGCAAGCCCTATAAAGGCTGAAATACAGTACTTTCAGTGATACAAAGCAAACAGAAAAGCAGTGATCTAAAAATATCCAGTTGTGCATTTGACATGATTTTCTTTTTAATATAGTCTGTTTGACAAAAGAAACAGGCTTTCCGCAGCTTGTTTTGTTTTATCAATGAATATAAATGGAGTAAAAATCAGATGTTCATAATACTATTAGATGAAATGACAAAAAAAAAAAACATGTACATGAATAATTCCGTTTCGATCAGAAAAAAAAACATTAAGTGGTCCGATATATATCTTTATTTTTCCTTATCCAAACCATCACGAAGATCCAATTTTTAATAACTGACAAAAGCCGCCCAGTGCATAAAAGGCACCATTCAACCCTGTGACCTTTGACAGAACAGGACAGAAGTGCCATCAGAGAGTTACCATGCTAAAACAAGTATTTTATATTACACACATACACAGATATTTCATATGACCCAAGTCTCCCCCCTTTAGCGCTCTTTTCATCTCGTTCAGTTCTGACTTTTTGATCTTTTTCTCTATTTCCTCTAAACTTCAAAATCATCCAAATAAAGAATCGTGACAATGGAACAATGTGATGCCTGCTGTTCAGTAGAGTCACACTTAGATCCTTCTCTTATTTGTAGGTGGAGCGAAATGAAAAATAAAAACAATAAAACAAAGAAAAGAGCCAAAAAGAGCGGCCGCTACATCCTGGCCTCAGCAGAGTCGTGCGCCGTAGCCAAATGTCTGTTTAATAGCGTGGCAGTAGTACCTCTGCCAGCCATCTCGTGTTCGTTCCTCTTCATTTTCAGGAACTGCCCGACACTCAATCTTTAACTCCGTCTCATTACCCTTGTCTGTGAAAGTCAATGTCACCGTCGCATAGTGCTCTGAAATGAAAAGGACAGACAGCGAAGGTGAATAACGTGCAGATGTTTCTCAAAGTCAACTGGCACACGGTAAATGAGAGAGCCGGTAAATATGATATTTATAATGTGACTTGCCAAAAAAAAAAAACTATGGAATTTCAGACTTAAACCACAATATACATGGTAAGAATTTCTTCTTCCGTCATATAGTGAACTAAACTACCTTTAAAAAGTTTGGGATCGGTAGAAGTCTATTCTGCTCACCAAAGCAGCATTTGTTTGATCAAAACAGTGATATTGTGAAATATTACAATTTAAAAATAGCAGCAAAGCTGAATTTTCATTATTCCAGTCTTCAGTGTCACATGTTCTTTCAGAAATCATTCTAATATGCTGATTTGGTGCTCAAGAAACATATTATAATTATCAATGTTGAAAATTCAAAAAGATGTTCGATAAAGGATTCGGTCTCTCTAAACTCCTCTTTCCAAAAGCCTCCTCTGCTCTGATCGGTTAAATGGTCCAGTCTGTTGTAATTGGTCTACTCTGCTCTGATTGGTCAAATGGCACAGTCTGTTGTGATTGGTCTACTCTGCTCTGATTGGTCAAATGGCACAGTCTGTTGTGATTGGTCTACTCTGCTCTGATTGGTCAAATGGCACAGTCTGTTGTGATTGGTCAGAAACCAAATGGCTGTTAGCATATCAGAATTTTAGCTCTTTCTCAGCATGTGCAGGGGTTAAAGTGGGCCGGAACGGTCCGGAACTGTGTTCCGGCACCTCAGATAAATAAATAAATAAATAAATAGATTCCTTAATCTCAACGAATCTCGCTGGTCCCGAGCTGGGCCGACCGACTGACCAACCTCCCTTCCTCCACGCTGAACGCGAGCGATTACAAATGCGTGAAATGCACTCACGGTGGTTGAGCGTGGTTAAGTTAGTTTTAGGTTCGATATTTCGCCTGACATTTGTTTTCCCTAGCCACTGTTCTATAGGGTCTTACAAAGATATCAATAGCAGGATTAGTTTTAACATTATGTAACCATTGTATATCGACATGAAATATTCTTTCAAAATCACCTACGTGCATTAATGCTGCATATTTATACCTGAGAATGCTTTGACGCGTTTGCACAGCGCATGATGAGGGAACGTCTGCCAATTCCACCAACTGCGTTAAACGTAGCCTATAATTTGTATTATTTAAAATTACTTTTCAAATTCCAAAGCTTGTAGAAGGTGGCAATACTGACCTGGTAGCCTTGAGTTAATTAACTTGTTTAAGAAAATGATTCATAAAACATATAAATATCAGTTAAGCCTATGTTTACTTTCTTCACTGACACAGACGAAAATGAAAAGACTATCAGTCAAAGTTCAGCTTTAGGGGGGGAAGAAATAAGCCAGGATAAGGAGACTGAGAGAAAAAGAAAGATGTAGATGAGGAGAGAGAAGGTATTGACAAAATAATCTAATGCCCACTCAATGACATGGTTTTAAAGCCATTTATTATCCATTTTTTGGGCCTCAAAAGTCTTAAATTGCACATTTGTAGGTCAGAGAAATCTAATTTTTCTTGTGGGGAGCGTGCCCCCGAACCCCACTAAATACCTTACATTTTAATGCACATGTCTGTGGGTGGGGCTGTGGATGATAATTATACCAAAAAGTATTGCTATACCACGATACTCAATATGTTGTCCCACGGTGAGCCATTTTTCCCTGTTGCACCTACACAAAATTTGAAGGATCCTCCACCTGCCAAATCCCACTTTAACCACTGAGCATGTGATACACAGTGATACCAACACCAACAATGGCTTTGGTTTTACCGTATCAATCTCATCCTTTGGAACGCATTAAAACAGTTGAAAACTTACTGACACCAAACTTTTAAATGTAGTGTATGTGACATTCTCACAAAATTTCCAGTGTTCAGTCTATTCTCTCCACACTAATAGCTCAGTTGCTGTATTTGAAAGTCTCTTAGCAGGCGAAAATTACATTGCTACTGTAGCAACCGATGTAGATAAACCAGATACTGAATACACAGTCTAAACAAATGTATCTGATTTCATAACTTGCAAAATGCCAGTGTGGACAGTCTATTGTCTGCAGTGAGAACAAAGCTGGTTTAACTTACCACAAGGCCATGTATTGTACCTCCATTTCATGACTATCTTCTGCTCAGGTACCTGTTAAATGCACAGTACGTGTTTTCAGAAATCAAATCATAAATCAACCATCACTGTCAATCATCAGTGAAAGTACTTTTATCTGAGATGTCATCATGTTTTGTAATTGGAAACTGAAGTCTCACCAGTTCCTGGAACTCTCCGTTCACGTTTCCGTCCAACAGGCGAAACTTCCCACCTTTTTCAGCCTCAACCATGGCACCACTGCGTGTGAAAGCCTGAACCATCTGTAACACACAATTTGGCATTCTTCTCAAACAAATGTAATCACTAATGAGAAGAGCTCTGTGCATTCAGTAATACGAGCCCAGGGAGTCTCACTATAGTGGAGATGCAACTAATGGCCTGTCAGCTGTGGTGGCGGCAGAAGACTCACCTCCTGATTGAGAAACACCCTGTAAAGCTCTTCTGGTGAGGTGAGGAAAGTGTCCTTTAACGAGAACTTGCAGGTGGGGATTTTTACCCCTGTGTTGGAAGGAGGAGGAGCAGCGCTACATGAGCCAATCTAAAAATACAATTACACACAAACGATGAGTTTTAGAATCAAATAGTTTGAGGAATCACTATGGTTGCATTTGATTGCCACATCGGAGCAGATCTGTCAAGCTACATTGAGCCCCACTGATAGTAAAAAAAAATTAACAAAGCCTATATTAAGGTGAGCAGATTTCTGAAAAAGAAACCAGGGGCATTTTCTAGTTCAGTGGTCAAAATGTAATTGAAATCTCACTTGTTATCTGTGAATTTAAAAACAGACAATACATTTTTGTATGTGTTTATTTTTTGGGTACCATATGCTGTTATTATAATTATGATCTTTCAAACTGACCCTAACTAGTTTTAAAACAATTCATCAAAAATCACATTATAGTTAGTAACCTTTTCAAATAGCAACAGATGTAAACATAACACAATTACAACTTTACACATTATAAAAATGAAAAAATACACATGATAAACTGTATTTAACTTTTTTATACATTTTATAATTGCATTTAATATTTCATGTTCACAAACTGTGAATATACAGTAGCCTATACAGCAGAGAGTATCTACAACAACACTATTTCTTGTAGATACAAGCCACTCATGATATCTAGTAGCCAGGACTTGTTTTCTGACATAAATACGCATGAACAAATGCCATAAGCCTGGATTTTCCTGTGAAATCCAAACTGACAGCTCAAACCATAAATCATTATTGTAGGCTTGATCGGATTGAATCAGGATAAAGAATATTTTTTTTATTAATTCCGTTCACTCTCAAGCACACTGTCTTCCATTAGTATTTTTAGCATTCCATTACATCATATAGCTGACATGATGATTTATCAAAAAACAATGGCACTAAAATATATCTGGACACTTAAGTATGTATAAACGTCTTAAAATACATTTTCAAATTGCATTATATATCAAAACAAATGCCATTTATATAATGAAAGACAGTAAATAATCTTTTTAATGATAAAACAATAGATTTAATGTTCAAAATTAGAGCTGACTTCATAAAGCCACCAAAAATTACATTTACTAATCATAGATTTTTTTTTAAATTGCATTAAAAGAGTTCAGAGAAAAGTTCCGGCATTATACATTTTAAGTATCTGTACTTTATCAGAGTATTTTTATTTTGGGAAACTTTTACTTTAGTGCATTGATGATATCATACTTTTTCCTACTCGTTCCTCTGTATTTTGAGCTGAAGAACTTGTCACTCACTCTGAGAAGCGTTAGCAGTGTCCGATTCTTTTCAATTAACCTGTTAAATCGGTTCGCAAATCGCACTGAACGATTTATTCGTGAATGGCAATTGTAAATGAAAGTCATATGTATGTCATGACTGTCATTATTAAAATATTTTTTTATACTAAATCTGCGGTAAAAGGGCGAGTTGTTTAAATCCATTGTATGAAATGCTTGAATGTGCACATGACCACATTTGTGTATCACCATCTGAACGGGGAAGATTTTAGGTAAAAACTAAACATAACGTTAAAATAAAGCAAATTAATGCCCATGCATCTTCCCCACTGCCGTAGCAGTTTCAAGTGATGTGAAACTAGTAAGGTTCGTCTTAAACTGGTAACATATTTTGCCCTATGTAATGTCCGTTTTATTTTGTATATTTATATTTGTCAACACATTTTGTTTTTCCTCATTTTTATATACTATATGGTATAGTGTTATTTTCACTTGTTCACACATGTGAATTATCAGTAGTAATTATCAGTGAATAACTTTGGTAATAATGTTTTCTTATTTGCAGATCAATACATTTAGTGTCTGCATAATCTTCCTTATTGACTAGTGCTGGTTACTTGACATCCACAATAATTCATAATGATTTCAGTCTGAGCAGTAAGCTATTTAAGCTATATTGAAGAAAATCGAGACACTTTAAGCCTCACCTGAGTTTTGCTTGTCTTAGTTGTTGCCTGGGCTGTTTGTTTCGTCACACCATTGGCTGTTGGCAGGATCATGCCCTGTGTGAACTCTACAACAGATAATAACAGATTATAGCAATCCACATCCAGCAGACAACGCTGCCACAGGATTGCCATCAGTTTTGACATCTCAGTGAGACGTACCTGTTTTGAGGAAGCCCACATAGCCGGCCAGCGCCGTGCGAATTTGATCGGCTCCCTCCCTCCTCATCAGAGAAAGCAGCGCCGTCTCAGGCTCATCTTTACAAAGACTCACACTGACCTGTGTGTGATCCCGAAAAAATACTCATTATCATCACTTACACAATCTATATACTCAGCATGGCTATTTAGTTATTCACATCTAGTAACAACTAGGGCTGTGCGATTAATCTTAATTTACTTTCGATTTCGGCTTCCAATGATTATGAAAACAAGATAATTGGTGTAAAACGATTATTGGACCACTGCAGCATTCCGTCTTAATAAATCTGCTGAAGTCTGTCATTAATGTTAATCAGACAACAAAAGATAAAGATAAAATCACTCACTGCTCTTGATTGAATCATTTTTGTAGTTGTAATAAGGATTAGGCCCCGTCCACACTACTGCGTTTTCATTTAAAAACGGAGACCTTTTGCTACGTTTGCACCTCCCGTCCACACTAAAAACGGCAAAAACGGAGACCCAAAACGGAGAAGTTTAGAAACGCTGCCGATCCGTTTTCCGTTTTGAATCTCCGGAGGGCGTTTTAGTGTAGACGGGTCAAAACGGAGGACTTTAGAAACGATGACGTAGTAGAGGCTCACGCTCGGCTCTATGATTGGGTGTCATCAGTCATGGCGTATATCTTTGCTAGCAGCTGTTGAACAAGTAAATTCTGCATTTTACAACGCTATAACTGCCTACATGCGCCGGAGTCAAGCTATTATTCGAGCGATCTGTGACCATTCCCGTGTGCAGCGGCGGCGTTGACCGTACATGGAGCGTCGGTTTGGGGTTAACCCAGAGCATGGTGGGATAATTTTATTAATGAAGTTGTGTTTACACCAGCACGCGCATGCCCAGTGTTGGTGAATGGTCACGTGATCCACGTTTTCAGTCATTTTAATGTGGACGGAGATCAATTCTAATACGCAGCTAAAACGCTGGTGTGGACGGAGATCGTATTCGTTTTAATTATCCGTTTCTAAACTAAAACGCAGTAGTGTGGATGGGGCCATAGTCTACAGTGTTTCCCCTAGGATATTTTCCAGGGGGGGTGGAAGACCCCCGTAACTGCTAGTGTCGTGGAGCGGGCGTGTTGGGACATATCTAAATTCTACTGTATAACAGTAAACCGAACTTTTATTTTGACGGGCTGCCGTGAAGACCTTTTGAGTTTCTGTGTTTATGACATGCTAGTTTTTCTCAAATTAAGCGGTTAAATGCTCACGAAGTGACTTTCAGAGCGCATCTAAAGTCTGAAGAGGACGTTCATGCATTTGTGTCCTCATATAGGCAAAAAAAAAACAATGCGAGCGTCACACGTGCTTCAGTGTGTGTGTTTGTGTGTGGTAAATAAAACTGCACGTCGGCTGCACCATTCATTCACACTGAACATGCAGGATTTGTATATAAATAGTCTTTGAGGTTTAATATATTCACACACTCTAGTCTATATCGCAATTTGATTTCAAGTGTACTGAACTGCTTTCTATTTATTCTTCAAAAAATGTACATAAGACTTTGATAATATCACCCACCAATAATTGTGTTAAATAATCATGATTATGATTTTTGCAATAATCGAGCAGCCCTAATAACAACAAAAATAACAACAACAAAAAAATAGATACTTTTGTTCCAGATACTTTAGATCAGTGGTTCTTAACCTTTTTGACTCCAAGGCCCCCCACTGTCCACAAGAATTTTCGAAGGCCCCATGACTTTTCCAGTTGTTTGTGATTTACTAAGGATTAAGGATAAGGCTTTTTTAAAAAATATTTTTACTCACAATTTCTAATACTTTGGAGCTTGGCTTAAAGGGTAAGTTCACCCAAAAATGAAAATTCTGTCAGTAATTACTCGCCCTCATGTTGTTCCTACCCCGTAAGACTTTCGTTCATCTTCGGAACACAAATTAAGATATTTTTGATGAAATCTGAGAGCTGGCTCACTCTGCCGGTCCAGAATAGTTAGTAAAGACATCGTTAAAATAGTCCGAGTGACTACAGTGGCTCAACCTTAAGTTTATCAAGCGACTAGAATACTTTTTGTGCACAAAAAAAACAAACTTTATTCAACTATTCATTTTCTTCTGTGTGGGCCTCTGATGTGAGTTTACGAGAGCACCACAACGCATGCGCGAGAACTGAGACAATGACGTTCACGATCATTTGATGGGAGAGTGTGAAAGGTAAGCCATTCATTTTTCGGCATTGGTAAGGCACTTTTACGTTTTCTCGTTGGTTTCTCACGATTCGGACATCCAGGAAATGCACACCTTAGAACCATTTTAAACACTACATCGAGACCCATCTGCGTCATCTTCTCAGTTCTCGTGAACTCGCGTCAAGAGGCCCACACAGAAGAAAATGAATAGTTGAATAAAGTCGTTATTTGTGTGCACAAAAAGTATTGTTCCAACCCCGTAAGACCTTCGTTCATCTTCGGAACACAAATTAAGATATTTTTGATGAAATCTGAGAGCTGGATCACTCCTCCATAGGCTTCTTCAGGGATTGAACTTGCCGGCCTCGAAAAATTATTAAAGACATTGTTAAAATAGTCCAAGTGACTACAGTGGCTCAATCTTAAGTTTATCAAGCGACGTGAATACTTTTTGTGCGCAAAAACAAACAAAAATAACGACTTTATTTCAACTATTCATGTCCATCTCCTTGGGCCTCGAGTCAGTTCACTAGTGTAATAGCGTAAGCTTCTGTTGTTGTACGTCACACGCATCACCCACATGACCAGCGTCGGCCAATAGTGAGCCTACGTGTGACGTAGCTCTACGGAATCACACTACGTTAACTGACTAGAGGCCCAAAGAGAAGGACATGAATAGTTGAAATAAAGTCGTTATTTTTGTTTGTTTTTGCGCACAAAAAGTATTCTCGTCGCTTGATAAACTTAAGATTGAGCCACTGTAGTCACTTGGACTATTTTAACGATGTCTTTAATAACTTTTCGAGGCCGGCAAGTTCAATCCCTGAAGAAGCCTATGGACTAGTATGGAGGAGTGATCCAGCTCTCAGATTTCATCAAAAATATCTTAATTCGTGTTCCGAAGATGAACGAAGGTCTTACGGGGTTGGAACAACATGAGGGTGAGTAATTACTGACAGCATTTTCATTTTTGGGTGAACTAACCCTTTAAGGTTGAGCCACTAGTCACTTGGACTATTTTAACAATGTTTTTACTAACTTTTCTTTCTGGACCGGCAGAATGAAATTGCCTAGAAGCCTATGAAGGAGTGATCCAGCTCTCAGATTTCATTAAAAATATCTTAATTTGTGTTCCGAAGATGAACGAAAGTCTTACGGGGTTGGAACAACATGAGGGTGAGAAATTACTGACAGAATTCTCATTTTTGGGTGAACTAACCCTTTAACTAGAAAATGTACAATCATTATAAAAGTGTAAATTTTATTTACATGACATTTCCAGGTCTAGAATTCAGACTTTAAAAATGAGGTCATATATCCAGGTCATCCAAGGGAATGGAAAAACTGGTTCTTTAAAAACAACAAATGAATTCAATTAAGAAATATCTTGATTTAAAATAATTTTAAGTCATCTGTCTTGAGGCCCCTCTGGAAGTTTGCTAAAGCCCCTTATCGGGCTCCGTCCGCTTAATTGAGAACCACTGCTGTGAACTGCAGCCAGCAACTTATTGCTTGTGCTCGCATTCCTGCGCATGTAACGTACAAGACTGAATGTGAATACTCACAACGATGTTCTTTTTCGCTCTTCGCTTAGAAGTAAAAAAAGAAATACCTTTGCAGCGATATACTTTTAACGAACATCCTGACACCGTCCACGTTACTGAGAGCAACGTTTCGATAAATATGTAAATATGTGCTGTGCGCTTTCCTTTTTTAATAAAAAAACAACAACAAAAATGACAGCTCTGAGAAAACAGTAGTTAAAGCATCTGATCATAGAGATGTGGATATGTTTGCACCAGCTCTGCGATTCACTGGCATCATGTCGACAGATGAGGTAAATAAAATTACACTGTTAGATTATAAATATGTTTGAGACTATAGACTATATAGATCTGACTATGTGAAACTATAGTTTGAAGTAAACCCTTTTCTTTGCAAGACACATTGACATTACAGTACAGAATGGCTCTTTCGGCATTATCCTGAACATTGTATAAGCATTTGCTCATGTGTCATTGAACAGACGAGAGGCTCTCGAAGAGCACGTTAACGGCACATCCTTTTGATTTTCCTGGCAAAAACGTCCCAAATCCTTCACATAAAAATCAGTCTACACTACAGGCTTTCATAGACAACCTAGTTTTGTTACAAGCTGTTCACACATTGGCAATAAAAAAGCAAGTAATACATGATAATTCTTACATATAGCCCCTTTAAATAAATTGACCATGTTTACAATACACACTGCTACTGTAGTCTTCTGTAAAACCTTCCGGTTGGTGATGCTACAATATATATATAAAATGCTACGTGAATGAGTTCACTTACATCAAGGTCGTCCATGTCATTTTCATCCGAAAGGTTTGGAACTTCAATGTTCCCCTTGTATTTGATGCCTGATTTTGATGTCCCTGTACAAACAGACAGCCCAAATCATGTACATGAATATTAAAGCCAAGTAAACTAAAGAACTTCTTTAATTAGATATTTACTTACAATTGCTCTCGGTCATATTCATCTTTAAGGCCTATTCACACCAAGAGCAAATAAAATGCATTCCTTCCTATAGATCTATTTACACCAGGGATGAACATCAGGCCAAAAAAACCTAGTACTTTGGGATTTTCCTTAAAGTGTGTTACAAATAAAATGTATTATTATTATTATTATACAAAAATGAATTATCATCTAGGTGGATTTTTCTTTCTTTGCCCAGTGAAACTAACTGGAAATAAGATATCCGTTTTCAGTTTCAGGTTGTGTGTTATCGGTATTCCCTTCAGCCAGCTGTTTACAGAGCAGACACTCCACTTAAATACATTTAAAAAAAGAAAACTATATACAGTATATATATTTCTGGGATTATTATAATTCGACACCTTGTATTTTGCATTAAAGTGCTTTTCCATGTTGTTCTTGGTGGGAGCAGACGTAAGTTAGCAATAGCTGATCCACAGTTATTCCACACATAATTCCTCACCTGTCCAGGTGGCCTTCAGATTCCACTCGTAGAAGAAAATCAGCTTCCCTTTGCGATTATTGATGGATGCTTCTCCCTCCACCTTGCTGACCTCTGTGATCTCACACTTGCCTTCTTCATTCTCCACCCACAATCCCATGAGCAGCTCCTTCAGCTTCTCCGATGACCAGTTTGTGGCGTCCCTCTCCGTCCTAGTAACACAAAGCACATCCACTGATATTACTCCCTTTTTTTTGCAGGACTTAATGCTAAGGATTTTTCTACTGGTCAGTGGTTCAGATCTTTACTTGCCCTGGCAAAATTTTCACTGGTCCCACTAAAGAAAAAAGAAAAGAAAAAAAAACAATTTTCTATGACTTATATCAGTTGTTTGTGATTCCTGCATACAGACTTATATGATAAAAAATATAATATGTATTTTTTTTTTATCATATCTATACAGCTCATTGATGTGATGTGGGTTTCCATGTCAGGTATATCATACATTAGAATTAATAGATTCAACTATTGGGTTATAACTATTAGTGTACAAAAGTCTCCAAGAAGACAATTATGTCCTGAGATTTGAATCCATTTAATGAGGAAACTGTTTTTCTCTTTTATGAGCAATACCTTTCTAATGGAATCTAACGTGAAAGTAACGTTTCTAGGCCTTTAAAAAAATAAATAATAATCACAATAGTAATATTTATTATTGATATTTCCAGGTTGACTGTGGAACCCTGAGAATAGTTCTTGACAAAACCTAGCTTTAATGTGACTGTCATGTTGAATAAATCATGGTTAAAACTAGGATCTATAGGGTTCGCTGTCAACAGTAAAAAGCCATTTAAACTTGTGTGGATGGAGATGCTGACTAACACCAAGAAATGGTTTAAATGCTTCCCCAATGAATTTGTTTCATCAATACACCTTCATAAGCAGTGTAAACCAAATTAACCACCCACTTCAACATTTAACTTGCTCTAACAAAACTGTCTGAGAGCATCCCTTACTCAGTAACATTCAATGTCCAAGCTGCCGAGACACTGCAAGAGCAGAACCGAATCGACTTGTCCGACAACAATAGCTGACAACCCAAGAAATAGAAGGGTAAACAAGATTTTCGTCAAATTATAGAAATATATCGACCAGAAAGCCGTCACATGAAAGATGCGGCGAAAGCATGGCATGAATAAACTTGCGACGACGCTAACGGCCCATTTTAGCCAGATATCAGAATAAACCCAAAAACAACAACTTTAACTTTCTCGGTTGCAGCTAAGTGTTCCGTTGCCAGAGAACTATGTTTTCTTCGGTCGAGAGTGTCCGTGAGGCACTTGATTCACAGACGACAGCTAGGCGGGTGTTCTTTAGCATGTTAGCATCAAGATGGCTTGAGTAATTGTGCGAATGTGCCGGTTGTCTCTCACCAGTGCCAGTTGTTGACGTTTGTGGCATCCGCTCTCTCCTCCACGATCCAGCGAGGGTCTCCTTCTCCCCACTTCGCCATGCTGATTTAATACAGATATTTTGAATTCAGAATGAATGAATGAAGCTACGGAGTCTGACACGAGCGTGCTCTCGCTTCTGGAAGCCTCTCGACTGCTGCCTCTGGTTTTGTTGCTCGTAGAAATTACTGGAAACGGAAGTCGCGCACAAACTAAGCACTCCGTGTTAAACACAAGGCTTGGAGATGATTCCGCATGAACTTGGAGAAATGTGTCTGTTTGTTGGTACTTCACTTGGTATTACACAGTTTTTTTTTTTTGTTTTTTTTTTAAATATAGAAATAAAGACATAATAGCATTGTATTATTTAAAATACCATTTAGAACCAAGTACATTCTGAAACGATTTAGTTGGCTGAATTCAATCTGAAATGTAGGCTACTATGCTAAATGTAAAATGGATACATAGGCCTCAGTGGCAGATCACTTGTCTGAAAATACGGTCCTTGTTGTTTTTGCAATAGCACAAATAGATGGGTCAAGACTTGCTTTTAGGTACATAAAAGAAGAATTTTGGGAACCAAACAGTTGATGGCATTGACTTCCATAACAGCTAGTAAAAAATACTATGGAAGTCAATGGGGTCCATCAAATCATGTTTGGTTACAAACATTCTTCAAAATATCTTCTTTTGTGTTCAGCAGAAGAAAACAATTCATGCAGTTTTGTAACTCAACTCAACTCAACTTTATTTATCTGAGCACTTTCAACACCACAAGTGGAACCAAAGTGCTGTACAGAAGGTATAAAAGAGAAAATAAAAACAAAGACATAAAACAATGCAAACATATGACATAGGCTACACAACTTACAAAGCATTATCAAATGCATTAACAACTTGAGGGAGAGTAAATAATGACAGATTGTGGGTAAACTACCCTTTTAATAGGCTACCTTTAAATGTTAATGTTGCTATTTACCGCGTTGGTTTAATTTCAAGTCAAGTCACCTCACTTTTATTAATTTAGCGCTTTTTACAATACAGATTGTTTCAAAGCAGCTTTACAGTGATAACAGGAAAATAATGCAACAAAGTTTGTTTCGGCTATACAGCAGATCTAGAAGAAAATAGTGTCATATTCCTGCTTAAGTAATTTGATTCATTTTTGTTGTAAAAAAAAAAAAATCGTATTCATTTAGTTAATTTATCTATAGCCACTTTCGAGAAAACAGTAATGTCATCGTCCAGGATTCGTCCATCGTCGTGGAATTAGAATGGAAGTGAATTAGGCACAGACAAAAAGCTGCGTTTTTGACCGAGATTGATTTTTGATCATTGTAGGTTTATTAATAATTTGCAAATTTTGCATATATCAAATACATATTGCATACAAATAATTTTAAACTAGACAAAGCCATATAAAAAGGTAATTAATGATTTTAAAAAATCTATAATTCATAATAATAAATAATATTAAATAAATTACTTAATTGCTGAACTGTAACAAGTAACCAGATAGTTCAGACAGACAGACAGACAGACAGACAGACAGACAGACAGACAGACAGACAGTAAACCACTATTGGCAGCACACAGATTTATAGATGACTGTTCTGTCATGAAGTTTGGCATCATTTCAGAAAAGCCAAGGACAAGAACTACTAATATTGCGACACAAAAATACACAAAACCAGATATTGCAAAGTGCTGTTTCTTTGGAACGACATTTAAAAACAGGAGAACAAATAGCAATTTCAAATGCGGCAGGTGAGTTTCAAAGAAAGGACATTATTTATCATGTGAAGTATGTGTGTGAGTTAGAGCAGTGTTTCTCAACCCTGGAGGACCCCCAACACTGCACATTTTGAAAGTGTCCTCTTCCTGACTCACCCAGTTTCTTCTAATGAGCCGATGAGTTGAATCAGGTGTGTTTGATTAGGGAGGCAAAGAAAATGTGCTGTGTTGGGGGTCCTTCAGGAGCAGGGTTGAGAGACACCGTGTTAGAGAAACGAATATCACATGATGATTTATTTACACATTTGTCTTTTCAATTTACAAAATTAATTATTACCAACGGATTACAATTTGAAGGTTTCTTGTACACAGATTGTGAGTCGGTGCAAGCAAGGACTACACTGCAAAAGCAACAGCACTTTAGATGTTTACTAGTTAGGTGAACCGTGGATGTTTCAGTATATGGACTCAATCATTGCATGTGTTTATGACACTGAGATCACTCACCCTGAGCTTTTTTCTTTTGCACAAAGGCACAATGAAGCTCCTGATTGTAGCTGTATTCGTTGGACTGTGTCTTGCCCAGCATAACCCAAACACTAAACCTAATAGGACCTCCATTGTTCATCTGTTTGAGTGGCGGTGGGCAGATATAGCTGACGAATGTGAGAGATACCTGGCACCAAATGGCTACAGAGGAGTTCAGGTATGGTTACAAATCTGCTTGAGTCCAGCACAAATGCACTTGCACTATTTTTAAGGAGCAGTAGGATAAGTCTGATGTTATGAACTTTGAGATTTTAGAGGAGTTGTTTACAGAAGGTTATGAATTATGAAAGAAAAATGGCCAAAAACATTTGTCTTTGATTTTACAGATTTCTCCCCCCAGTGAGAGCATTGTGGTGACTAATCCTTGGCACCCTTGGTGGCAGAGGTATCAGCCAATCAGCTACAACTTGTGCTCCAGATCAGGAACTGAGGAAGAGCTGAAAGACATGATCACACGCTGTAACAAAGTTGGGGTACTGCAAAACTACTGTAATTTTTACAGGAAAAAGAAACAAATCTGGCTGTTGTGGTTGCCAGAATAATTCTGTAAAAATACTGTAATGTAAACTTTTACAGACCAACAACGTGTACATTTTACAGTTTAAAACTGTAATTTATTAAAAAAAAAGTTAAATCCAATATCCCTTTTCTGCTGAACTAGCAAGGCCACGCTGCTATTAAAATCTATTTTTGTACATTTAACATACTGACAACCACGTAATAATGCTCCTTGTAAAGAGAAAGTCACACGAAGAGACGGCATCTCCTGTGTTTTACTTTGCAACAGGTGAATGTATATGTGGATGCAGTCATAAATCACATGTGTGGAGCCTCTGGTGGAGAAGGCAATCACTCCAGCTGTGGATCATACTTCAACGCCAACAAGGAGGACTTCCCCTCTGTCCCATACTCATCATGGGACTTCAATGATAACAAGTGTAGAACTGCCAATGAAGAGATTGAAAACTACAACAATGTTTTCCAGGTTAAAAAACCCCCTTAAAATTACCTTCTGCTTAAATGAGTCGATGAAGTCAAGATATGAAAATTCACCCTATTTATTGTCTAAATGCATGTTGTTATTCTTATTGTGAAGGAATAATTTGTGCATTTAATTTTTTTATTATTTATTTTGACCGCTTTGAACTTTTAAATTAAAGTGTCAAAACTTGATCTTCCAGTGAAATGACAGATTATCTGGTGACGTATGCTGGATTTTTCCAGCCATTTTGTTGGCGTAAACCCCTCCCTTTACATACAATCGACTGCAAGTTTACATTCAGATTAGCCTCAATCCAATCAATTACCAACAGATAGAACCAATCTCCTGCCCTAAATTGTTTTCTTCTTCAATACGTTGTTTCACTCACACGCCACAATACGGAAGAAAGATCTGTTGCTATAGTTCATTGCGACTTTAAAAATTTCTTTGATATTTGAAAATTAAAAACAAAACAAAAAAGTGTGGGCTGTTGTGCTGCTTAGTCCGATCCACTTTCAACAGCGTTTTTCAGAAATCACTTACTGCCCCTTTAATTTAGCTATAAAGTAGCTCTACAGAAGACAATGGTGTCTTTATTCAGCTCAGTTTAGTTCAATGATGATGATTCAATATCAGTGAAAATGTTGCAAAGTTCATCAGTTATAAAACAAATTCTATTTAGCTATAAAGCAGCTCTTCAAAAGACAATTGTATAATTCTGCTCAAGTCAGATTAGGAATCACATTATGGTGAAAGCTTATCACCCTCCATATATTTAAAGACTCATAGTTTCTTGTTTTCTGTTGTGTTGGTGCATGCTTTTCATTTAAAGGTTCATTATCATCCCTGACCCTGACTTTTAAGCAACACCAAGTAACTTTTCCTCTGCGGTGGCATAAGTGCATTTCACCATGTCACGACTTGATGAACCACTGAAACGATTTTGAAAACATTATTTTAAGGTAAAAAATCTTACTTAGTGTTGCTTTAATTACAATCCTCAGATTTGTTTACACACAAACTTCAATCCATGTAGTAACGCTTGCATCTGCAACTAGTCACAGTGTGCTTCATAGTTGTGTGCGCTATAGAACCCTGATTTCAATTCCCCTGCTAGCAGTTCAACGAGCTGTTTTTTGCTGCAGTGCTTGACCTGTTAATTTTGTGTTGACAGGTTAGAAATTGTCGCTTGGTGAGTCTCCTGGATTTGGCCCTGGAGAAGGACTATGTTAGAGGAAAAGTGGCTGAATACATGAACAAACTGATCGACATGGGTGTAGCTGGATTCAGAGTAGATGCTTGTAAGCACATGTGGCCTGGCGACCTTAGTAACGTCTTCGGCAGACTCAGGAGTCTGAATACCACTTGGTTTTTACCTGGCACCAAGCCCTTTATTTATCAAGAGGTATCACCATCCCTTGAGGACCAGAGTAACTTAAAATGGTTGTTAAACCACTAACACATTTATTTATTTTTCCTTCAGGTTATCGACCTTGGTGGGGAATCCATTAAAGCCAGTGAATATTTTGAACTCGGAAGAGTGACGGAGTTCAAGCACAGTGCAAAACTGGGAACAGTCATTCGTAAATGGGACAAAGAAAAGCTAAGCTATCTCAAGTATGCAATGGTAACTAACCTCTATTATTACAATGCTATCTGGAAAATTCGTTTCTGATTGGGCAATCATTGAGTGCTCATATATTTTATTGTACATGGCAACATATCGGTGCTTTTTTTAATGTCTCTCAATCATAACATTAATAATAAGTCTTAAAGTAACAACAGGTAACTTTTCAACCTTCATAATATATTTCCAAGTCTCTTGTGATGGTACATCGACTTACAATAGGTTGAATGACACGTCTGCCATAGCCT